TATTGAAATGTTCATAAAATATGTAAGAATATTAATGTTGTAGTATGCATACAATGCCTTTTTTTTTTTTTTTTACAATATGTAACAGGGGGCCCCTGGTCTGTAGCTCTACCCACCAAGGGGACCTTGGAAAGACCTCTGTATTAAAGTCTGTTCACAAGAAGGATAACTATGAAGATTTTTATAATAATTACTATATTAGTGAACACACCAGTGGACTATAACATTCTGCTGGAGCACCTTAATGCAGGAAAGATTCTTAGGCTGATGATACATGGGGCAAATTTTTGAGCAATTTTGCCAAGCAACTTTTTTTGAGCAATGTTGCTTGGGCACTTTCCCATTGAGAATGGGTAACAAATCTCTATCTGGATTGGTCGTGGGCCCTGTGTCTCACCTGGTTGCCCATTGACGGCAACATTTCCCAAAGTTGCCCAGCAACATTGCTCAAAAAGTTGCACAGTGTATCATCAGCCTAAATGGCTGTCAATGTTTTTTCGTTCATCTGCTGTGGGGAAAAAAATAATAAAAATAAATAAATAAATATTTTGAAAGTGATTCCAACAATAGTTGTGGCATGGACTCTGCTATTCTTTTAAATTTAGAACAATTTTTAAAACTAGATCTTTATAGTTACCAATATCATACTTGGTGTGAACGGGCCTTTAGACTGAAAGAATAAATTGAATTGTCAAAAAGACATAGGCCTAACTTTAAGATTAAATACAAAGGCAGTGAGAATTTTGTGTTACAAGCTTATGTAATTCTAACTGTTCGTTTTAATTAGTTGACTAATTAAGCTTAGGTGAAAAACGCTAAGTCTATCCTTCAAGTAGGCTACCTTAATTTGTTTTTATAGGCTATCAGATTAATTAAGACCTCCATTAACTAATTTCATGGAGAAAAATTTCATGAGAAATTCATTGTCATTTCATTTCACTAAGAGACCCAGAAGCCGGACGCCACAGGGCAAATCTGAAATTCCAATCAAAGTCTTCATCTAATAATAAATCATTGTTCGCTTGTACAGAACCCGGAAGCATGTGCTGTGCATAGCATGGATAAGAGTTTATTATTACCGCCGGAGGGGGTACATGAGAGCGATTAGCGATTCACTCCACTTCAGAACTAAATCATTTTCTTATCTGACCGAAACCGTCTCTATTCTGCCCGCATTTCCCCATCACACCTGATATCTGAGAGTTCAATAATTTTATGTAGCTTACGAGGCTGCAAGGGAGATGTATTCTGACATAATGAACGGGGCCAGTGTGTCTCAGTGAATAGCGGCTCTGGGGAACAGCTTTACCAATCCTGAGCGCCCAGCGGACACCTGAAACCGCTTTACTGCCTCCAAAATTACGGCTTTTGTCCCAAAGAGCTCAACAAAGCCAGCACTGGGGGATGTGTTTTCAGTGTGCGAATTAAACAATGAATTTCAGGGGGGTTAGCTACTTTTAAAAGAAAATTCGCAAGGAATTTCTCAGGGCGCAATCTGTCGCGTTCACCTTATGCATCAAGACAATTAACCAAATGCAAAATACTTTTAAAACAAACAAACAAACTAAAAACACAAATTTTATGATAACCTATTGATAGGCCTATAATCTATAATAGAAACAGTAAGTAGGCCTAGCTATTTCTATTTTGTCTATTTTATTATGTATAATGTCAAACGCAAAGTGCTCGAGCACTTTAGTTTTCGAGTACCCTGACAAACGTGTAGCCTATTCTAACATTTGAGAACCCCCTGTAGAAATTAAACGTAGCCTGTACACGCTTCCATTCTGGCCCTCCATACCCAGGGATTCAAGTCTTATATTAGCGGGTCAGGCTCTCAGATACGTACAGAATTTGCACCTCCCTTTTCTTCTTCAATTATTGAACACACGGCATCGGTGAATCAGTGGTAGTAAAGACTTATGTAATTGTTGTTCAAATCATAGGCTCTTGAAAAATTCTTCGAATCACTGAGCAAGGGGAGAAAATTACATTTTTATTGTCATTATAATAATAATTTGTAATTATTGTAATAGCCTATCACATGTTGTAATTTAAACCGCATTCATTTTTAGCATATTCCACTTTAATTAAATCCTAATTCATTCAGGCAGGCTATTCTCACCAAAACTTGTTTAACAAACTCGACTTTCAAGCGCGCTTTTATCAAGAAAACACCTTTTGCAAACACCTTGTTTTCTGTAATGTTATGCATTTAACCTCATGGCATTGCATTTAGCGCAGGGTTCCTGTGCGCTCTCTCAATGCATCGCTTCAGCTCTCCTACCTGCTCCGTTTGGGAAGCGGGATCCCATTTCTCCAGCATTATCCTGCTGCTTTCGCTGCTGCTGGGACACAGAGAACAAGGAGCGGTTTGTTCCTCACACACAGCTAATCAGCACTTGTGTTAAGACAGAAAAGCCAGAGACTCACAGGCGTTTCGACTGAGCTTTGTCAGCCTGTTTCACAACTGTTACAGACCTCAAGACCTTTCATGTGATTTCATCAAACATGCGTAAAATTAGCGCGAGTTAAGTGAGTCAGGATGTCAACATTTTAAAGATGCTTAAAATGTGCAAATAATGTTTACCATTACCAGTAAACAAATGTAGACTATAAAACAAAACAAAAAATCCTTTATGAAAAAATTAAATAATAATACATAAAAAATAAAATGCATGACACACATCGGATAGACACATAAATGCAAATAATAGGCTAATACTCACTTTTCAAAATCATGCTGGTGTGTTAAATTCAGACTTTCAGTGCCCCACGTGATATGTGCTGAAAATAAACAAATTACAATCACATTAGTGCTGCACTATTCGTTCATTACAATTGTTTCACATATAAGACTTTTCTGTATCAAAAATTTAATAAACGCTTAATTATATATAATAATATAATATTTTCAAATATATTTACATAATTATACATTATATTTCAAGTAAGCTTTTTAATATATTAAATTAAGAATCTTTTTTATCTTAATCTTTTTTTTCTTCTTAAAATAGAAATTAAGAGAAGAAATGACTACCAGAACATCTTTCTACTCACCTACATTTCTTACATTTCAGATAAGATATTTAAGCATATAGACCATTATCATTATATTTTTTCCCAAAATGTTTATTTAGGCTAGTGCAATACAACTCTTTCCTTGACAATAATATATAACTTAATTATACAATTTCATTATCTAAATGCATTTTTCCTTTGTATGATGATCAGTTAATCGGAGCAGAACACATCAGTTCATCGTCATGCTGCTTACCTTGATATATTAGGATAAAGAATAATAAATAGAGTAAAAAAAGTTTCTTTCCGGGAGTTAAAATAGGATCCATCCGTGACTCATGTGAATCACTTGAAATGGAATGAGATTCTCCCCTCAGTCTTCCACCGATGTGCACTACCGACGCATATTCCCGTCTGACTGCAGCTGCTCCTCGCGTTTATCTCAGGTGCTGAGGATAACACGCGCGGTTCGCCCGTCATTAGCATAATATATGCTAATGAACAGCACTAATGCATATCCACAACTACAGGGAGAGCGAGAGAACTGGAGGCTCCGCTGCTAGAAGAAATATTTCTATTTTCTATTTTTCTATTATATTTCTTTTTTCCATGATACAGTGAAAATGAAAATCATTTTGATCCAAGTGCTGATGAGTCCTGAGAAATAGTTAAAGGGATAGTTGACCCAAAAATGAAAATTCTGTCATTAATTACTCACCCTCATGTCGTTTCAAACCCGTAAGACCTTCGTTCATCTTCGGAACACAAATTAAGATATTTTTGATGGAATCTGAGAGCTGTCTGACCCTGCATAGACAGCAACGCAACTGAAATGTTCCCAAGTCCAGAAACGTAGCAAGGAGATCTGTAAAATAATCCATGTGACATCAGTGGTTCATCTGCAATTATACGAAGCTACGAGAATACTTTTTGTGCTCAAAAGAAAAAAAAAAAACGACTTTATTCAACAATTCGTCTCCTCCGCATCACCCTGGTGCCATTTTGGAGAGTATCAGCTGGACGTAAACTGCGTCAGACGGATACGTTGTTTCCGTTCAGATCAAATCACAACAACGTAGGAAACAGATCCGGCGTGACGCAGCTGACACAGAACAGCATATATCAAATCAATACGCAAGTTTAAAAAATGCTAAATTATTTAGACAAAAATGGGACAAATAATTACATAATAATGTAGTCATAATTTAAGCAAATGAATAAAAAAATAATAAAAATGCATCACATCCTGGTAGCAGCAGCAGAACTGTCAAAAAAGACTAATAATAATTAATAATTATAAATAATCAAATTTAAAATAACAATAATATAATTGTAATAAAAATATTCTGTTGCAACTTTACATAGCCTACTTCAGCATGTTTTCTCACGATTTACTGTTGAGCTATGAGTTCCTCACTAATTATTTGTGTCTTTGGTTACTTGGCCACATGTCACGTCACTCACTCACTTTTTTAATGAAGGTTTTAAATGATTCGTTCTCCTAAATAAATAAATAACTAGTTCTGTCGTCATTTATTCATCCTCATGTTGTGACAAAACCGTTTAATTTCATTTCCTCTGGAACACAAGAGAAGATAGGAACTTGGAAGAATTGGAGGTCATCATTGGCTTTAATTAGCTATATGAAAAAAAATGTAACAAAACTGAATGGTAACCGAGGTGGTCAGTGCATTCTTTTTAACTTCTGCCTAATAAAGAATATTCTTGGTATCAGTGATGTGAACATAATGTGCAGCTGGACTAATACGTGTGTGCTGTGAAGTTAAACATTGAAAAGAGTGGACAGATTTCACTCAAGATGTGAAAAGGGGTGCTGTCTAGCATTAGAATAGTGTCATAAAATAAAACGTGCACATTTAATCTCACAGTTTGGGTGACTTTAAAGAATTTAGCAGGAGTTGGAGTGCAGACAAACAAAATAAATAATAACAGATATTACTTTATATTCATTTAAGGAGTTTCAGATACAAACTTATGGATTTTTAATTTTGTTCTTTTTCATGACATCTTACAACTGCAACATCATTATAATGAATAATTACTGTATAATATGGGATTGTTAAAACTAGACTATAATGCCACACAGATAAAAGCATACTGCACTTCTTTCTTTGTACTGACCTAGACATTTACATGCCAGCTCCTTTTTAAGATAAGGAACTTCATAAAAACGATCCTGAGCTAACTTGTGAAATAAAGTGGAGTAATTTGACAGTAACATACGATATTTTGAATGTCTGTGGTATTAACAAAAGAGATCATCTGGGTTATTTGTGACCAAGTCCTTCCCCAGTGTGTGAGGAGGTAAGTTAAATGCCCATGGTTTGTTGTAAACTGCCCTCTCTCACACAATGTGGCCATGAACAGGACAATCATAAACAACACCTTTCACAATTTCTATGGCCTGTTTGGCTGTGAGCGCCCTCCAGTGGTTAGCAGAAAGCTAAAGACAGCAGCATTAATGATACACTGGATGTATCCGAAAGATGGCACACCATATGCTTCATAGAGGAATCCTCCGATGGTTGGGCCAACAGTTCGTAAAAGAGACTGCACCGAAGCACACAGACCCAGCATGGTTCCTGAACACACCACACAAACAAGGCACACAGTGCTTGATTTTTTTTCTTTCCAAGTGCTTTAAATAGGCCAAATGATATTTAATGACAACAGTGAAAGCCAGTTTTACTGAAAAAAAATATTGTTAATATAAACGTGTAAAGGATAAATTAATAAAATAATATTTTTATTATTCTAACAAAAAACAATTGTCACAATTTTTACATTTAGTGCATTATGAAACCATTTGCACGGAAAATGATTCGCCAGACATTGTGTATAATGTATATGCATAAGTATGTATTATGTTCATGCACAAGGGCATCTTGTTCCGTCTAGCATGTGTGTCTGTGGATTACCTGTGTCAGATGGAGACACACTCTTGGTCAACATGCTGTCTGTGATGACATTGAAGACACTTAGAGAAAACATCATTGGTATCACGATTAAACAAAAATGAAACACGTTGGTCATCATAGCCTGAAAAACACACAAAACACACATATATTTAACATACACACAGTGAGACCAGTCACATAATCCAGCTTCCATGTTTAACTGACACAACCGTCATGCAACTAATTTTAAACAAAAAATGAAATTGTTTGCAATATCAGCTTACCTGTGCAAGGCCCACTAAACTGGATATCCCAACAGAGAGCAGCATTAAAGAAGACTCTGAAAATCTAGACGTAAGACGCCCAATTACAGCACCTTGGATCACCTTAAACAGCAAGACCAGTGTCACTTATTGCCTCAGCACAGCAGTGCTTCAATCCTAAACAATTTATATAGCATGTGACTGATAAGAAGTGTGCATGTGTTTATACCATTTGTACTATGCCAAAGTAAGCCATCAGATAGCCATTCTGCTCTGCCTTCAGTTGGAAGAAGTTTATGGCAATGATGGAGAACATAACTTGAAATATACCTATATACAATAAAAACAACAAATAAAAATATGTAAAACAACACACAAGACATCATTTAAAGTCATGATGAAACGGAAGTAGGGACAGATTATTTTATTCTGTACACTGAGTAAACAGATTATTAAAAGTGGGGGCTCTATTCATCGATTATTTGATTGGATGGAACTCAATGACTAAATGATATACTAAGTCCAGCATACATCACCAGAGAGAAGTCTGCTGTCTCACTGAAAGATTTGAAAGTTTTGACATTTTAATTAAAAATGTAACTTAATTTAAAAGGTAATTTTTTAAAACATATTGTATGCATTAACTAATCATTCACAATAAGATCAATAACATGCATTTAGAAAATAATTGGTGAATTTTCATTTCATGTCCACTTTAAGTATGTTTCCAGTTTAGGGGTGTTTCGGTATGTTTAAAGTCACAAATGCTAATAGTTAAATTGTTCACCTGCTGGCAATCCAGAAATAATCTTCACTGTGAAAGTCTTTGCAACACCTGGAAATTTCATCAGTCTTGTGATCTCCCCCAGATTAAACACGGAATTTGATGATCCCTTCTCTAAACAAACATAAAAATCATAATAATCATTATATATATATTTTTTTTTGATAAAAATTTAATTTGTAGTAATACATACAACTATTGTAATGCTGAAATAAATATATACAAACTCCATTTAACAATATACAGTAACCAGATTCTTAATATAAGACTTTTATACAATAAAGTTACAAATGGCTACTGCAAGAGCATTCCTTCTGTGTCTAGCTGAGTTGTGTGTTTATGTCCATACTGTTACTCTCCGGCACGGTGTGTATTTTGGTCTGTTTAGGGATGAAGTTCAACACCAACAGCAAAGAAACAAAACTTCCGACAGCTGCAAAAGATGCTGCAAACTTTTCCCTGCAAACCACACAAAAACAAAACCACTGGCACTTGTCAGCACTGATCTAGTAAAACAATCCTGTTTTACTAGATCAGTGCTGCTTTCATTATCTTCATGTGATAAACAACATGATTAGATTTGGTTAGAAAAATGCAGTTTTTCCAGAGCACAAATGGCAAAGTTTTGTACTAGTGGAAAAAAAGGACTCAAAAGTAGTTTCTTTTGAATTTGTATTAATTAAATAATCCTTAAAAAACTGTATCACTGTTTTCATGTAAAACTGTATTCATGTTTAATGTTTCTTGAGCGCTAAATAAGATCATTAGAATGATTTCTGAGGATCATGTGTGACTGAAGACTAGAGTAATGCCAGCATAGTGTAGGTGGTGTAGTGTGTCCTACCCAAAGCGTGTGCTGAGGGTCCCACCCAGTGATGATCCTGCGATCATGCCAATGCCAAAGCAGAGGCCAAGTTTCCCAAGAGCATCTGCTCGCTTCTCATTCTCTGACAGATCTGCTACCACCATTTGAGCTCCTACACACAAATGCAAATGCACTCATGTACCTGTATACTGTGTGCTTGAGTTAGGTATATGTAAGAGTGTATGAGCAGCATGTGTTACCTGGCAGTGCGTGCATAAAAACAGCAGGTAGTTTATGCACGAAAAGCATAAAAGTGTTGTCTGCCACCGCCAACAGTAGAAAATAAACCACTGATGCCAAGCAAGACACAGAGAGAGCTGCACGTGCTCCAAACACATCTGCAAACCTGAAAACAGACACAAGACACACGTGTGAATAAAAGCCATACAGTACCTATATTTAAAGCCTATAACTGAAGTAAGACATTAAATAAATGAGTCATTCTCATTAGGCACACATAATTACAGACATTTATCCATCCTATTTCCATACACAACACACACAGATGAGTTCTGACTGCTTACCTTCCATAAATAGGGCCTCCAAGCAGCTGAATCACTCCAACTGTGGTCTGCAGATACCCGAACCAAATAGTATCGAACCCGAGCCTCCTCGCCAAATACTGTTCCACAGAAGACAAAACTGAACAAGCAAGGCAACCCATCCGTTATAACTGCTTTATTTCTGTCTGATTAGCTGAGAGCCTGGATTAGACTAGAATGGGCCAAACAACATGGCCAGCTTTAATCTGCTATATATTACATTCATTTACCAGCTGCGAAGAATGAAGAATATCACAAACATGTAATGCAGGTGAATAATAATTAAATATTTACTCTCTCTCTCTATGTATATGATATTATGCATATAATAATTGATAATAGAAGTTATATTAAAAATATAAAATTGAAGTCTAAATATAATTGGTTCACATTATCAAATAGTTTGTTTGCTAAATGTGAGAACATAGCCAAAACCCCTGCAGATATACATTCCAGGGCTCAGCAAAATCGATTCAAAGGTGCTTTTATTTAACATCTGATCCCAAATGAAGTCGGAAAGCAAGACGAACCGGTGTTATGGAGAACTGGAGGAAGAGCCAGGTGATGTCCAGAGCTGCGATGAGGTAGGTGATGTAAATCACTTTCTGCTTCGCAGCCGGCTCCATGATTCAAATCACTGTATCAGATCTCAGTTTTGGGCTTTTACTCCCCGACAGTTCTCCTTCCGCACGATCTGTTCCTTAAACGGGTAAATTAAGAGCATCTGCTTCCACTGAAACTCCGACGAATATACAGAATATACACATTATAAACCGTAACGCTTTACGGCTTTATCCCGCTGTAGTAGCGGTGACAAAGCATAATTTAATGTGAGGGAAAGGTTAAACCCAGAAACGCGCAGAGCTGAACTTCAACCAGTCCTCAAACTATCAACAGGTTAAAGGACTTTGAGCCGTTTCAGTTTCGCCGAAGCTCTGCTCACTGCGGTGGGAAGAAGGGGTTTATACGGGTTTAAAATAGAATATACAAATACTATTATTATTTATATAGACGTAGTAGTTTAAATAAAGATATAAAAATCTGCAGTCGTTTCATCTCCGCACACAAGACCACGGATCATATTTACATTGGGAGCGAGTATAGGCTACTGTCCGACTACACGTTAACAAGTAACCGGATTAGGTTATAAAGTGTAAAGCGTATAAAGGTGTCTAAAGTGCTAAAATAAAACCAAACATAATCCTCGCCATTTTTGTTGTGGATAACGCACATCGAGGATATTCCTCCTCCTCTCTGTGTCGTGAACACTGGAGGCGTGACTAGGTTAGCCGTCAACAAACCTACTACAATCGACATCTATTGTGACTAAACGGAAAAAGAATAGCAGATGAACTGACAGCAGAGAGACTGGCCGAGAGAGAGCAAGCAGTAATCCATAAGAGCTCATTGTTGAGAATGAGAGCGGTGCTGTACGCGAAGACCTCACAAAAGGTCGCTTCATTTTTACGTATTGTAGCCAAGAAATATTTAAGAGGGAAGAAAGATTGCCTATTGCTGTTGCCTTTAGTTTAAAATAAAAGTGTTACCATTTTGGTCACACGTCATGTTTTGCAACAAAGAACAATCCCAATTTGTTGTAGGCTACGAGCTTTCCACCAAGTAGCCTTCATATAGTAACCTATACAGTATATGCACACAAACGTTTGATTTTCTGTTAGCGTGGGACTTTCAATTGATTTGTATTGTTTTATACAGAGCTAACTCGTTTTATTTTCTTATCCATTTCTTTTCCTATCATTACATTTAGTCCCCGATTCCCACCCAGACAGAAATGACCAGAGTAGTGTGGAATAAAGTGCAGCTTTTTAATTTCAATATAATATAGAGTTCATCTGTATGGTTCTCTATCATGACCAGCAGAGTATCAATGAACAATTTTAAAAAATCTGTGCAGAAAATTGCAGAATATTAAAAATACACAAGCAAAAAGTCCCTGGAACAACACTTTGTGAAAAAATAGTTTGAAATTTCCATCTGAACAATATATATTATGTACAAATATAACTGTTTAAGTGCACAAACATGATACAGAGTCACACTCTTGTAATAAATTATCAGTAGACATATACTAAACATTGACTGACCTCATTCTAAAAGGAAAACAAAAACATTTACAATCCAGGAATAGACAGGTCAGCATGTGTCTTTACTGAAAATAAACAATTCCAGAGATATCCAAAGAGATTGCTACTGTTCAATGCTAACGTATTGTCCTTATGGTCCATTTAAGGTCAACCTTTGGCCCGTGACATCTGGAAATAATAGATATATTAAAGCCACAGACCTGAGCCAACAGCAACCTGGCCCAACAGCTAAGACACAACCTACAGCATATCTCTTAATGGATAATGTCACTACACATTGTCAGCAATTTACCAGCCAACTGGCTCATACCAAGGTTAGTTGCTATGTTAAATCAAGGAGAGGTGTTTTGAAAACCCATCTTGTCTTTAATAATGCTGCAGTGATATAGCAACATACCTCTGTCTAATGATAAAGTCCCATGTGACATGTTCACATGTCTATATTTCTATTCATGCTTAACTTCATTTCACTTGTAGTCTATGTCTGAGGAAATGCCATTTTTATAATGTTGGATGTACTTGAACAATTATCAGCTTTATTCTATGAAAACTCTCACAAAACATCCCTGCAACTACATTTCTGTATTTGATAAAAACTTAACAAAATGTTCAAATTTTTCTGCATACTTGTATACCTTTATAAACAAAGTTCTTAATAAATAATTTTTTGGTATTTTCCTTTAAATAAAACTCAATTTAAAAAATAAAAGAGAAAAGGTTTTTTTACAGCAGTGCAGCAAATTATAAGGTAGATGGTCAGGCCTTATGGTAGCCATTTTTGGCTTTTTTTAAGGGTTCAAAGTTCTCATAAATAGTGAGTGCAGCTGTGTTCTGGTAGATCAAGTCTACATTGTTTCCAGTCCGAGACTTGATGATGTCCATGGCACACTGGTTAAGAAACACATATTGATCCTGCAAAAGCAGAGAATGTAAAGGCCTGCACTGTTAGAGACTAAAATGCCCATTATGGCTTACAAATCATAGGAGCATATATATATATATATATAAAAACTAAAAAACTGGTAATGAATGTACCTCTGTTTGAACCATGAGTGGTCTGTGCATGCGTAAATCGTGGATGATCCCATATACATCTACTACACCATCCCGCTCAATCTGAAAGATTAACCGATCAATGGCAATGAAGGTTCCTGTGCGGCCCACACCAGCACTGTAATATGAAAACAAAAAATATGATGAAAATCAAGTGGGAGTATAATAATAAAATGGTGGTGAGTAGACCCATTTGTATATATTGAAGAAGAGTTCAGGAACTATTCAAGTACCTGCAGTGCACAAGTGTAGGCGAATGTCTTGAGTACTGGTCCATGTGTTCTCGGACCAGGTGTCTGAAGTTGATGAGAAGCTCAGTGGTCTCAGGCACTCCATGGTCTGGCCACGCAGTGAAATGGAAGTGACGAACTGATCGAGACTCTGCTGTTTTCACCTGTTATGACAGGAATCATTTTTCCCTTGTTGACACTTTGCTTGTCGAGACAAATTGCAAACATATTACCAAAAAGATAATTCTGACTTTCAAAAATATTGTAACACTTGTATAATTTTATATATATATATATAAAAACTCATTCATCTCATTTAAATGAAATGTATAATAATTTCCTAGCCTAAATAATGTGTATAAATAAAATGCATATATACAAAAAGTATGGGCACCAATGCAGTAGAAAAAACAGAATTCTGACAAAAGCGCCGTGCAATTTATAACAGTTGCAGTATGTTCCTGTTTTTAGTTGTAAAAAAAAAAAAAAAAAAACTAACACTAGCTTTTCTAATCTTTTTGTTTTCTATTCTATCGGTTTTCTTTTTATTTATTATATAATTTATAAAAAAAATAAACTTGCTACGTGTACTGCGTTAAGCTAACTGAGACTTGTTATAGCACTTGCATATCATTGCTCTTTTGTTGATTTTGATTGCTTCCATTGTCCTCATTTGTAAGTCGCTTTGGATAAAAGCGTCTGCTAAATGACCAAATGTAAATGTAATATATGGGTTATTTAGTGTTAGTTCAAATAGCACTTGGGTCTAACTGTAACATTAACATAGACTTACATTTTTCACTTCAAAGTCACGTAAAGTCCAGTCTTCCAATGGGATCTCGGAAACATTCGTCACTGTCAGATTGTTAAAATGTTTTGTCTCTGCTGGCCAGTATTCTTCACATTTTACCTGAGGGACAAAAGATTGTGGCAGAATTCATACAAGCTCATTAGTTCAATACCTGAGATGAGGTATTACAAATGATCTTAAAATGCTGAATGAGGATATGAACATTGAATATGTAGTGGTCAAGTAATTTAGGCTTTTAAAGCCTGATATGTAGCATCATCTGACAATCAAATTAACTAAAACATAAGGAATGAAGGCTCTAACAGGTGAGATCACAGAAAAAGTGAAGTGTATACTGTACCCGTCCTTGCTCATTGCATTTGGTGAGCATGACAATAGTGTGGATGTTTTTCTCCCAGATCAGTCTCCAGAAGTCATTGACAGTGCAGGGCAGTGGCCCTTGGGCTGCGATAAACTCTTTCTTTGAAGTGTAACCCTGGAAATATCACACAGTTAGTCTGACAATTGTGTAAAGAGCTAAATGTCATATTTTTGTAGTTTTCCCCCTTCCTACCGGCATGTAGCTGGCATTGATGTAGTCATCAAATGGGCTGCTGAGCACAGAGAGCTTGACACGAGATGAATCATCTGTCAAGAACACATGAATTATTATGAATATGGGCTACGTGTCTAGAACAGAGTGGAGGAAACTCAGTGTTGTGTAACTTCACAAAGGGAAAGTCCTATGGTTCTTACATGGCAGCACATTGTTATAACGATTCTTGGCTTTGTTTTCAGGGGCCTGAGCAACAGTCTTTGGCTGATTTATTCCAACTGGCCTTAGATCCTACAAACACACACATCCATTTATTTAAAGTCTCTCTTTTGTTTATATTGATTTTATTACATTTACATCACAAATATTTGAACATCTGTAATAAAGTATTTGTTTCTCTGTCAATAATTCAAGAAGAGACGCAAGTGTATGTCACATATTTATGAATGAAGAGGAGCACAACACAGTCAGAGCAAACAAATCAGACACTGCTACTACTGTTTTTGGACCACAAACAATGGTGGCATATTGGTGGTATGGAATCTAGTTGCAATACTTTTGATCAGTTGTAAATATACAGAGAAGCCAAAGATATAATCACCTCAAATTCTTCAGCAAATCCACAAAAGGAATCAGCTCTTTGCCGCCTATAGTAAGCCTCATAATCCTCCACCTTTATTGGATCACTCCTATGACACCATTAAATAACCATGATAAAAAAAATATGTATTTTATTTAACTATACAGTACACCACATAACATTGTATTTATTAAATATTTGTTAATGTTAATTACACTAGTTAAACTGTACTAACAATGAACAATACTTCTACAGCATTTAATAATCCAAGTTAATGTTAATCTAAGCATTTACCAATCAAAAGTTGTATCTGTTAACATTAGTTGCTGCACTGCAGACTAACATGAACATGAAAAAGTTAAGAAATGCTGTAAAAATATATTGTTCATTGTTAGTACCTGTTAGGTAATTCATTAAACAATGTTAAAAAATGAGACCTTTTATTGTGGCTTTGTTCTGGGATATCATTATTTCTACTATGAGACAATATTTCATGTTCTTTCCCATATCATAAATCATTTTTATTGAAGCTATGAAGTCATAATTTTCAGTCAAATCATAAATACGTATGAAAATTTGTGTGGACAAACATGTATGATTACTTACACTTTGTTTCTGTAAGAAAACAAAAGAAAAAAATATTAAAAGGTTACTTTTTATGGCTCAATATTTATTCTATTGTTTGTTTCCAATGTGTATTATGCTGTTTTGAGGAGACCTGTATACTAACCTTATAGAGTGGATAGGAACACTAGTAGAATCATCTTTTCTTTGCTTCCTGTGATATTGAGAGCACACATGTAATTATCTAGTTGCCACTGTCTATTAATACTTAAAAACATTCTGTAAACAAGCAATACATATCTTTACACACCTAAGTTAGATTAGTAAAATTGTGGGGACACAATGGTAATCTTAAATCCTCTAAATCTAACAACTCTATCACTAG